CTCAATCCAACCAGTTCCTGCATCTATGTCTAGTCGATACCAATTCATCTCGCTAACTCATTGAAAGTTTGCTTTTGAACAAGCAAACAAAATGTCCAGTAGACTGGTTCTACCCCCATTCATTTTTACTGATTATTTGGTAAATTTTACTGATTCTTTTTACTGCTTAATTTTTTCTTATCTTGAAAATCAGGACTAGACGCTGCTAATGCAATTTCTAGAAACATTGAGATACAAAAAATATTCAGCCATAGGGGTCTCTTACAAGTATTAAACATATTAATGAAATGATAGCACAGATTGTAACAGATATCCCAATTCTCAAGTAATTCATGTGGAGAGTGTTAGATTGTTGAGCCTGGAAGACGGCTATGGAAAAGGAAGCCTCTTGAGGTGAATTCCATATAGTGCTGTGCCCAAGCCTCAGAACTGGCAGAGAGTGAGGCTTCACATAAAGTCCCAGCAGAACTATCTGATTTTAATCTTCAACTAATAATTCTCTAGAGTTTAAAACAAGCCTTTCCCCGAATAAGGCATAATGAAAAATAAGTTTATAATTATAACAGTAATTCATAATAATAATGAATGAAATGGTTCCTTTTGGCCAGTCATAGCAATATTAGACTTGGAAAACAGTCAATAATAATCAATAATCAATATTTTAGATGCTACCTCACTATGGTATTTGACACAAAAGCCACAATTTGGCATACCCTTATCTCATACTTTGTCAACAGAAAGCATTATGAAACCCTAACATTAGGGAATCTGATAGAGGCATTATGTTGGATTTTTTAAATAAAAGAAAATAACTTTAAACACCAAGTTCATTTGTTTGGAATTTTAACTAAATTCTAGAATTTATTACTAAATTAATCTCATAATTTTTGTTTTGGTACAGAGTTAATATTTTGGGATTATTTTCACTTAGAAAATTTAAATCAAGGGGTACATCCTGTTTCTGATTTAGACATGCCATTTCCAACTAATGTAATTTGGAATTGGTTGTGGTGTTTGAATACATATTTAAAAAAGAGAAAAAACAAAAATTAGTCCTAATATTTAAAAAAATTTACCTAAGAGAAACTTTTTCAGTTTTTTTATTAAAAGATTCATCTTTTCTTCTTCAGATTCACTTTGGTTTTTCATATTCCTCAGTTTCTCACTTAACTGAAAGACATTGTTTTTGGAGACTTCTGCCAGTTCACTTATATTTTTGATCTGAAATAAGAAAAAAAACAACAAAGAGGAAAACACAACAATGAGGCATGTTCTGTGACATTTAATTGCATAGCTGGACCAAATAAAACTGTCACTAAAAATGAAATAGAAGTGCAGATAATTAAACAATGGATTCAATTTAAAGGACTCTTTTAAAAGATACTATTTGCTTTCATTATCATGTTTTCTTAATAATGTAAACTTATCTCAAAACATTATTAGTATTTAAAATCGTTATTTGAAAACAATATTGACCTAGTGTCAATAACTTTTCCTGACCCAAATCTAAAACACAAATTCTGTTTTAATGAGACTTCAGTATTGGAATTACTTAGGACTACTTACCTACAGTGGCCATTATGTTTAACAAGTTCAGAGTGTTTTCTTCTATAGTAAGTTAAAATAGTTACTCTTCTAAACCTTTGGCAAATTCAAATAATATATTTATTTTGAATGCTAAAAAGAAAGCATTCCTACTATTAATAAATGAGTTTGAACTCAGTGCAGGCTACAAAGATAAATTCCAAACACTTTTTACACTCAGTGGAGGGATGATAGGACTAAAAGTCTTAGAACCTAGAGATGCAAATTCTTAAATGTATGATTTGAGAAAGGCCATGGAATTTTTCTTGAAATTCCAACAAATTTGAGAAAAAGACAAAACAGAAAGCAAAGAACAATATCACCAACAAGTTGAGCTGTGTTGAATAAACTAATTGTGACAGTAGTAGGGCTAATTGGGATCAAACATAATTAGGGGAATAAAGTCTCCCTTTATTTCCACACAAAAGAAAACTGCTTCATTGAGCCATACATATTTTGTGGAAAGGGGTTTAATTGTGTCATTGGCAAATGATGAAACAAAAAAGAAATATTTACATGGTTAAAAATATTCATCTTAAGTTTTTTGAGTTGTTCCTTAATTCTCTAGAACTTTTTAAACTTTAAAATAGATATCAGTTGCTAAGAGAGTAGATCTTAAAAGTTTTCACAATGAAAAAAAATATAACTGGGTGGTGATGTTAACTAAACTTTTTGTGCTTATCATTTAGCAATATATACATAGGTCAAGTCATTATGTTGTACACCTAAAACTGATACAATATTATATGTCAATTATATCTCAATATAAAAAAAATGGATAGCAGTAAGTAAAAATGCATAACAGTAAAATGAGAATTCCAGAAATAAATACTCTGGACAGGAAAGCACCAAATTATACAGATGAAATCTGTGGAGATTAGTTGATACCATATGCAGAAAGAGATTGCTAAATTACTTCATTCTTAAAACATCTCTCTGCAATCCATCCTCTGACACAATCGACTCCTGAGAATTCTTTCAATCTCTCCAGCACTCTTCTAATCAAGAGGAAAACAGCACACCATTTTATCAACATGACAACCCCTGCCCCCCACCATTTTCCAGTAATGTGCTGATTAAGCCAGACTGTGCTAATACATACTTCAGGGGCTATCTTTTAAAAGTAATATTATAGTTTAACACAGAGCTTGTTTAAATGGTGTGAGATTTCTGGTTTGTTTTTTTTTGAGAAGGGACAATATAATAGTTTAAAATTACATTAAACAATTAAGGCTTGTTTAACCACCGGGATGCAGGACCAGGATTTGCATTTGTTATGTTCACTGCTGTATTTCCATTATCTAGATAAATGCCTGGCACATAGTAGGTACTCAATGTATATTTATTAAAACAATGAAGAATAGGGCTGGCCGAGTGGCGCATTGGTTAAAGGCTGGCTTGGGATGCCAAAAGGCCCCGGTTTGGATCCCACATATGAGGGCCAGTGACACTGCCCTTTACAGCTAAGATGCTGAACAACAGCTCAACCTGGAGCTGGGCTGCCGTGAGTCGCCTGCGACGGCGTAGGCTGCAGTAGGTTGCCATGGGCTACCGTGTGTAGCCA